CTAATAAGAAGAGAAAAAAATAAGGTTCTTTAAAACAGAAATCTTATACCTCTGTAAGAGAACTACATTCCCCTATAGTTGAAGGAACAATGCTTATCCTGAGCCATGTATGGAACCATACAATACAATTACGTATTAATTCACATTAAATAAACTAGGCAATGTCGAAATATCTACACCACAAGAAACAAAAGAGTGAATAAATTATTAAGTAAAGAAAGAACCACGGTTATAGAGTTTTATTGATGAGGAATTTGTGCGAGTATATCCCGCTCAGAATTACCTATTATTGCTGGCTTTCAAGACTTCAAGTTGGGTCAAAAATCTTATTTCATCTGGGAGGCTCGTCAATTTGTTATTATTCACATGCAGTTCCTTCAGTGAAGTCAGGCCTCCAAGTGCAGAAGGCAAAGTAGTAAACCTGCATCAACCAGCCCAATTGACGTTAACAGGTACACGTTGATATAGTATATTTTTACTTGAGCATTTTGTATTCTGGTACTGCAAAAATTAGACAGTGACAACTGAAGGTACTTACAGATTATAGGACAGATATAAAACCGTTAGATGCTTCAAAAGTGCCAATCCCTCCCAACTAATAGACTGTTCAGATATCTCATTATTAGTCAGGAACAATTTCTGCAGATCGTGACAAAATTAGAGATATTACGAAGAGAAATTTAGGCTATTCAAATGAAAAGCTCAAAAGCAAGACAGGGATTAACTTCACCTGTGTTGAACTCATACACCCAACTTGAGAAGGCACATGTTTAATATAGTTGTTGCTCAAATCAAGTATTCTCGTTGAAGTTTCACAAGACCACACTTCATTGGGAATTGCCTATGAGAGATCTCAATGAAGATTTGAAAGAAATAATCACAATTTTTATGTTGTTACGTGAAAGACGATGATTTGATATATACCTTCAAATTGCAGTCAGATAACGCTATCACTCCAAAGGCCTTCCATCTTTCTATCCGGCTTTTATCTACAATGTCTCGCTGCTTTTCATCAACGAAATTGTTTGCATTTCGCGTACTCCTTTCTCGGGGACGAGTCCTCGCTTCTCGCATGATAGGCCCATCCTATTCAGCCAAATCGAAACAGTGAAAACTAATTCCCAAATGCACAATCTCAAATCCACCGCCGTCCAAATGAAAAACATATGACTAAATACACTCCATTCACTCTTCAAACGAGTCCACAATTTTTATCAGATAAACCGTCGACCAATTCTCGCAATTTTAACAAGTAAACCCTAATAAATTTGACGAGCGAGAGGCACGACATGGTAAATCCCTCAAAAGCATCCAATAGGAGAATCAAACAGTAAAGATTTGGCAAAATTGAATCCAGATGTAAGAAAGAAGACAACGGATAAACCAGGTTACCCCTTGGTGCAGTCCCTGGGAAGCCATGAGCATCACTTTGGCTCCATTAGCCACCTCCGATGCCGCCAGAGTCATCTCGTCCGCCAAAACCCTCCCTGAAATCACTCATCAGCAACAAATTGCTTCCATAAAAGCAAGTGCATACATAATAGAGATAGTGTCCAGTTGCAGAACCTTTGAAGATGAGCTTCTGGCCACGAGGTAGGACGTTGGTTAAAGGTTGAAGAAGGGACTTGAGATCCTTCACGGTCAAATCGCAGGGAACAGTTACTGGAATCGATCTCCCACTGAACTTGACGTTGATAACAATGGCTTCAGACGTAGTCGCAGTCGCTTCAACCTCCATTTCTGTTTCGCGCCTTGGCTCAGAGGCGCGTTCCTTGGGAAGACGATGATCAATTTCTCTTGCTTCGCGATGGAATTTTATTTTTTCAAAAATAAATTATAGTCTAATATTATTATTATTATTATTTTATACAAATAGTCTAATATTATTACTTACTTTATACAAATCCAAAGTAATTTAAACAAAAAAAAATTCATTTTATTATTTTATTTTTTATATCACAGTTTTCACGTGACGTTAAGTTATATGAATTTCTTAACGAACGAAGTAGATGTCATTTACAGTGAAGTTATGCTCAATTTAGTACTTCGTACATTTTAACTTTTTTTTTTTAAAACAAAGAAAAAAACAAACAACTTACCATAAATCAATCGAAAAAACTAAAATGTTCAGCCACGTGAAGAGTTTGAGAACTCCATTTATCCTTCAAATCTTCTTTCATCGCTGGTTTAGTTGAAGCGCGGAACACTTTGTTTGCCTTTCGATTGATATGTCTTGTTGAAGCTATTTTCATGTCTCTCATCATTTGTTAGATTTTTTTTAGAAGCCAAATAATTTTAATTTCATCTTGACGCTATCGATGAAGGAGATGAATCGCTTTGCAAAAGTCAGATTCTATATGAATTAGTCAAGGATATCCTTTAACTAAATTGAGGTAATGAATCAATTTCGATCTTAAATTGAAATTTTAAAAAGTATAATAAAATTAAGTGAGTGATAAATAATCAAATAACTTTTTTCCTACTAGAACATTACATCAATGAATATCAAACTATTATCTTTTTTAAGTAAAAATTTTGTAAGAATTGAACTTTAAATAGAGGAGGGAAGTCAATCCACATCTTGAGATAAAACGTTTAATGTTCACTAAGATATTTATACAGTAAAAAGTTAAAAATGGAAAAGGAGAATATAAGATTAATAATCCATCAATAATTTTTTTTTCCCAATGCCAACAAGAGCAGACAAAATAACCAAATCATCCCTAGCGTGAACCCTCCATTTCGGTAGACTTTGGGAAGAAGAAGAATAAGAAAGAAACAAACTTAAGCATAAATTTCAAAACCCATACGTTTTCAATGTTTCACGCGGAATTTTTGGCAAGCAATTCTGAGATATTGTCATTTTACTGAATAACGCAAGTTAAAAAGAAAATTACTAAAAACGTATTCGTAAGTGATTTTGTATCGTGGACAACTAAATGTTGTATATATCTATGATAGTAATATACTGTCTACATTTGACATAAATATTCACGACTATTTTTTATTTCATCCAAAATACATATTTTCAGAAAGATGTTGTCTTTTAGTTATATATCCACTATCTTTCCTTCATTTAGCAAACATGAGACTTTTAATCATTCTTCCAATATTTTGTTTCAGTCAAATATCACGTTTACCATTTTTTTAAGATTTAATATACTTCATGGTCAAATAATAGATTATGTTGGGAGGTGATCAAAATTGTAATGGTTGATAATGAAATAAAAGTGATGGTAAAAGGTAACAAAAAAAAAATTGAACTATTTCAAAACTACTCTCGAACGTGGTATAATCAGCCGCGTAAAATTTACCTTTGTAACTTCTCATGGGTTAAAATTGTTAGGCGTTGGGTGTGGCATGTGAAACTTTTCAGAACCCACCAAAGTTTGGGGTTAGGCTTCCACTTTTTAACCTTTTTTTTTTTAATTTAATTTAATTTTTTAAAGCTTAAAAGAAAATATAATTGAACATTTGTTTCAGACCAAACACGCGTGTCTCCAGACCACACTCATTACATTGTAAATTTATGGTTTTGGTGGGCCATATTGCACGTGATCCCATTGTACTCCACTCTCCACTTTTTTTTTTCTTTTTTCTTTTTTCCATTTTCTCGATTAAAACCTATATATATATGGATTTCTCAATTATACATAAAATATACATTTTTCTCAAAAGTAATTTGACACTAATATTCAGGATAAATTACCATTGTTTCTACTTTTATAAGATGCTAACTATTTTCTTATGTGACATTTTTTTTTGGAGGCGGTTATTTTTTTTAAGTATCCCACATGAAAAATATTTAGAAATTTAACCAAATTTATAAATACATGTGATATTTTTCTTGTTAATTAATTTTATGATGAAATCCTATAAATATTCGTTAATTTTCAACAAATTCAAAAAAGCATCTAATTAAAAAATGTAAAATATACTTTTTTTTATATTTTAAAAATACACGATACTTTTTTATCAAAGAATTACTATATAGGAAAAAAAATAGGACTATTGCATCAGAAGAGTAGTGACCATGCACCACAATCAAAATTTACGAAAGAAAACAACAACCTCGAGAGACACATGAACAATCACTTAACCAATAAAAGAGCTTGCGAACTGGTAATATGATCAAATTTTAGCCCACTAGACACATTTTCCAAAGTCACAACATTCTCAATCTCATTCGATTATGTCAAGAAAATACCTTAATAGACATCGTAACGAAAAGAAATCTTTTCGAAGATTAAACTATGATGTATCCAACGATAAGGTTGAAAGTTCGAATATCCATCCCACATCCCAACGAAGATTGGCTAACAATTTAACCAAATTACAACATCAACATGTGATATTTTACGAAACCAACGCCCAATTAATCAGAAGTTGAAAACTAAAGATGAATGGAATTATAGTTGATAATCTGGTTTCTTAAAAATTCTCTATAATTAAGGCTCTAAAATTATGGTTTGTGTGTTCTTAATTACCCACCTCTCGTAGACAAACCGCCTTTCTTATTCAAACCGCTTTCGCCCTTCAATCTTCCCCCTTTTAATTCTCTCTCTCTCTTCTCCCCAAAAATCCAAAAGCCTGCAAATAAACCCCTTCTCTTCGAATCATCCAAATCTTTGCTTCAACCGCAATCCCCAATTTCTCTTCCTTGTTCGTCTCCTCAAATCGGAGATTCGGTTGCCGTCCTCATCGGAACACCGGCGTCGATGTGGCGCTCCTGGAACAAATCCATGGTTCAGATTCCCGATAAGGCCGCGCAATCCCCGTCTTTCGCATGCTCCTCTTTCAAAGACGTTCAAGAACTTTTCGCCGACGAAAGCCCTAAGCCCGCCGCCAGAAAGGCCGCAATCGTCTTCCAGCGCGTCCGATTCGTTAATTCCTTGCTCAGAGCTTGGTCGAATCTCCCGCAGGAGGGTCAATCGCGCCTCCGATTCCAGCCGGAACCCGAACCGGTCGTCAAATTTCTAGACCCTAACCCTAAATCGAACAAATCGCCCCCGGTCACGGCGCCGACACGATCCACCGCCGCCGCGCCTGTTTCGGACGAACGGATTGTGGTTTACTTCACCAGCCTACGCGTGGTGAGGTCGACGTTCGAGGACTGCCGGGCCGTCCGCTCCATACTTTGGGGGTTTCGCGTCTCGGTTGACGAACGAGATCTGGCGATGGATTCGGGGTTTGTGGCCGAGCTACAGCGAATAATCGGGAAGAAGGAGTTGGCCTTGCCGGCGGTTTTCATCGGCGGGGAGTACATCGGCGGGGCGGAGGAAATCAGGCAGCTCCACGAGACCGGCGAGCTGAAGAAGCTGATTGAGGGGTTGCCGAAGGCGGAATCCGGCGTGTGCGAGGCTTGCGTCGGCTACAGGTTCCTTCTGTGCGATGAGTGCAACGGCAGCCACAAATTGTTCACGGAGAAAACTGGGTTCAAGACGTGTACGGCATGTAACGAGAACGGTCTGATCAGGTGCCATTCTTGCTCTTCTGCAACATTCTGATCCCTTCTCTTCGGTTAATTTAAAGAAGAAAATGGCGAAACAAAGAAAAAAAAATCATCCCAAAAAAGGAATGAAAAAAGGGAAACTAATTTTTATTGACCAATTTTTCCGTTCTTTCTTCTTTCTTTTCTGGGATCAAGTTTTTTATCATTTTTGTACCTAAAAAGTAGCTTTTAACGAGTTTTTAGCTTCTTCTCCTTATAAGCTCTGAGTAATGAAGCTGCCGCCATAGAAATGCTCTGGTAATATTGTTATCTGCAGAAAGCAATCACAAAAATGGCCTTTTCTTCTTTCATTGTTTTTCTTCTTTGAAAATGTTCATCACTCATCGTATTGATTATTAGCTTAAAAGGGTCTAATTATAATCAGCAGATTTAGGATTAAAATTTCAATGCCATAGGGATTGAGTTGGGGCTGGCTCTGATCTGCGGTGGGAAGATTAATTTTAATTTGCTTGTAGAACCAGAAAGAGCTACAGACAGTGGCAAATAATTGATTCATAATTTGGGGGAATTTAAAGGCCTTATTGATGTATTTTAAATACACAAAAGTTTTGGCCACATATTCCATTTGTTAAGTGGTTTGTTTCTATTGGGTTGTGCTTATGATCTTGATGTGTGTGGATTAATTTATGAACGAAGATCAGTCCCATCAAAGTAACTTAAATTTAGAAACATTACTTTAAGTCTTAGATGTGTTCCTTTGCTTTGTTATTAGTTTTTTAAATACTTTAGCCAAGTTTCTTTTTTAAATTTCATACCTTACTAATGAAATTGTGTAAAAGACGATCAATTTTTTTTAAAACTGTAACTTATAAATGAAATGATTATCAAATGACATCTTTTTTGGCGTTCATTGAACCCCCAAAATATGCATTGTGTGAGAATATTCTTGACATTACAAATAAGGTATTTTGGTTCATTTGGGTTCCAATGCTTCATACATTTTGGTTTTTATACTTCTTTTTTAATTTTAGTATTTTATTAAAAAAATAATTTTAGTATTTTTATGGTTTATTAAGTACTTTTAAAAATGATTCTAAGTTGTAAAATTTTAACACAAATTTTATACACTAATGAAACCTCTTAATATAAATTTATGATTACATTTCGAAAAATTGGGTGGATGAGGTGTAATTTAAAGGACCAAAATAGTTTTAAGATCAAAACAAACATTTCGAAAGTATAAGCATTGAAATCGACCTAAAGTTGAAAACGTAATGATCAAGTATATAGAATAAAATTAATTAAAGTCAAAATTACAACAACCAAAATATTATTTAAACCTAGGAATTATAACTTTATTTGTTCTTAAACTAAGTCTCATGTTTGAACACATCAAGGAATGTATATATATTCAATCATGTATTTATATCATGTATTTATTAATTTCTAATTCAAAAGGTTCCACGAACATTTGTTAAACATACTTGTAGCATAGTTCAACGAGTTAATGCATCTACAATCAAAAGGTCGGGAAATTATAGTCTCCATATCAAGCCTCTTAAGACATGTTGGGAGTGATTTTGGTATGGCTACAATCATTTTCACTCGAGTCAAAATTTTAAAATGACATGTTTGATAATATTTTGAAAAGAATCCAAAATTACTCAAAGTGATTCTATCACTTGGGATGATTTCCAAGTGATTTTTTTATGTCAAAAGATTAATAGAAAATTAATTTTTAAAATGGTTGTTGTTTTAAATGTCAACATTGTCTTTCTATTTAAAATTTGAGAAATTTTATTTTTTCAATTTCTAAAATTTTTCTCACTCTCTGTATTTATTTATTTTTAATTTTATTTATTCTCTCTATTCTTTTCTCTAAAATTTCTATAATATCTCTCTAAATTAGATCAGCATGCCTTCAGTATTTAGGAGTAGTCTATCTCCTAATTTTATTTCTCTATCTTAAATTTTGCTTCTCTCTAATTTTTGTTGCTATCTAACTTTTCTCTCTCGATTCTGTTTAAAGTTCAAATATTAATCCTTTAAAATTACTTGAAAAACGTGTAATCAAATATTAAATTAATTATATAAAAATCACTTTTGACAAAATCAATTATCATTAAATCTTTTTAACTAAAATCACCTCTTTCTAAAATCATTCTTAGGGAAGTTATTAATCACATTTCGATTATTATTATTAGTATGTCAATCAATAAGACTTTACGTTTAAAAAATGTTCTAGTCAAGAGGTTGTTTGAAAACTATATTCAAAATGGTTTTGTTTTTCTTTTTTTGAACAAAAACTCTGTAAAAACGTGTGGAGCCATGCATTTTGAACTTCAACTTTCCTCTTTTTATGTTCTCATAAATGATCTATGTTTTCAAACAATGGAGCTGTGATCTATTTCAAACTTATCAATTTCTTAGTACTGGTTTTTATATGTCTATTTGGACTAATTAAATAAAATTAAAAATTCAATGTCCTATGAGATACATTTAAAATTTCACGAATTTATTTGACACAAAATTGAAAGTCTGTGAACTTCTTAAACTCTTTTTAAAGCTTAGGGTCTAGAAGATACTATCCTTTCATGTATTAAACTTGTAACTGAACCAAGAAAGTGGTGCTATAATAGCGTAGTATTTAGTATCCAATTTTTTAGGTCGAGCTATTACATGGTAGGAGTTATTACAGTTTTGAAGTGTAGTCTAAGTCCAGACATACCCTTTCGGTTTTTTTTTCCTTTTATCTCAACAATTGTGGAGTAGGGGATTAAATGATGGACTTTAGGGATGTAACGAGTGTTTTATCCATTAAACTATACTCGAATTGACTCATTCTGTTCACTTATCTTAACGACATCAAATGTAACTTTTTTTATTAAAAAAAAGTGGCATCAAGGGTAAAATCCTTTATACTTTTGGACAATGATATTCATTTTTTAATAGCGAAGGTGGTGATGTTAGAGAAACAAAAGCGTATTTCTGCTCAATCAAACTAGCCCAATATTAAACTAAAGAAACCCAATCTACTTTTATATGATAAATAGCCTTTCCTTTTTAAGTTATACTTTTAATGATAAATAGTTTTTTATTTTCTTTCTTTTTTTCCTCCCTGCGAAGGTGAAGATTTACATATCTGACCTTTAATACAAATAAATAATGTTTTAACTATTTGACATCAACTATTTTTTAAAGTCGCGAGTTACATGAGATTGAAGTGATTGTCTTGAAGTTTTTCTTTTGTAACACCTTAAATCTTCATAATTTGAGCTGAACTTCAATAAGCTAAAAACCAACAAAGAATTATGCAGAGTACAAAATCACACTTACAAAATCCACGTTGGTGACATGGCAATATTCTTTATACAAATCAATATTATTGTACACATTAAAATCCCTATTCACAAAGATGCAATTTCAAAACAAACTCTACACATTCTAAAGAGACAAACTATATGCATGAAAACGTACGAACAACAGATAAGATACAGTTATCCAAATGCATATCGGTTTCGAGAGTTAGCATTGGGTGTTGCCAACCGAAGGCCATTGGATAAATAGGTGATATGGCAATGTGTATTAAATTTCCATGAGGGTAGGTCCTCTATTTTGAGACAAAAATTAGACCAACCAAGACCCACCCCACTCTAGCTCATAGGAAACATTGTCTATAAAGCTTGTACAAAGACATGTTAAAAAAAGAAGGCATTTTGATTGGTGAACTAGCATCCAAGTGTAAAAAGACAAAAGTGTCCATTTAAAACTTGGTTTTATTTTTTCATCTTTATTCGGAAAGGTGGGTTGGAAAGTCAATTTTGTGGCATTGCTTCACTTTCCATTGGTTGGATCATAAAAAATCCCCAACTCTTTCACCTAATTGTAGGCCATCTCTCTACCTTTGGTTAAATCTTTCTATGTGAACATTCTTTTGCTTTAGATTGTTTACTTCCACCATTATGCTATAATATTTATCTAAAATTGCTCTATTTCTCAAATTAACTATTTTCTTCGTTGTTGTTTGGGTTTTAAGTCCCGAGAATTCTCTTCAATGACTCGAATGAGTGATAGCTTGTCTCGTTGAGCTTAAATGAAATGGATCCAAAATTCAAATGGAGGCACAATAATTGACTACGTACTTTTGCTTTTGAAATCTACCGACAAAAAAGTCTCATAACAACAATGACATTATTCTTACCTATAAATCAAATATGTCAATTCGAGCGTGGATAAAACATCTATTACTATCTTAGAGACGAATGGTTCAAAAAATATTTATAAAAATATATATTTTTAACCCCTAATCAACTCAAGGTTCTACTCACAAAGACAAATATTTCAAAACTTCTCCCTTAAATAAATTCTTCAATTTATAACTCGATCTTCTTTTATTTAGCTATCACAATTAAGCGTGCGTGTGGTTGGTGATCTAAAAATAGAAATATGAAAATAAAAGATTCAAGGAAAAACTAAGTGTTTTCAAATATGTGTTTGGTAGCATATTTAAAAATTGAATATCAAATTTAATAATTGTCGAATGTGTTTAATAATATATTTGTAAACCAATGGTAGAACATTTAATTCAATTTAAAATAATATTATAATTTATAATATATTATATTTTACGTTTGTTAAATTTTAACAAAAGTAAAATGATTTTATAACATGAAATAATATATTTATTAAATTTTTATTTCTTTAAAAATAATTTTACTTTAAAAGGTCGAAATTCAAAATCTAAAAACAGTTAAAACATGCCAATGATGTTCTCAAAATTTTGATCACAGAATTCAAAAAGAGTCTTAAAAACAAATTTACCAAATAAATATTCAAAACAAGAAAAAAGAATAATCTGCTAACACTTATTTTTCCATCTTAAACCAATTTCCAAAACCATTAAAAAAAAAAGAAAAAGAAAAAACTATAATATTTTGATTGCATAAAATAGGAGGGAGCCACCACCACCGGCCGCCCGTGACATGGAAAGATCGGCAGTCAAGATCGGATTTCACCATCTCTTCCGACGGCCCCAATCTCTGACTTTTCTTCTACGCCATTTCCCTCTTCTTATCCAATAACTTCTCAGCTAATTTTTTTTCAATCAATCAATTTATTTATTTATTTCTTAATTAATTAATTAATTAATGCCCCCTCTTCACTCACATCCAAATGGCTCAACTCTATTATTTTCCAATTTCCTGGTGCAGGCCAGAGCTGTAAACAAAACATATACCAATCTTTTTCTTCCTCTTTTTTTGGCCATAATTTTTAATGGGTTTCTTCTGGATTCACCCAACCAACTGGCGGGACCTGATTTTAAGCATTTCAAAAGAAAAAAAAAAAAAACAAGAAGAAGAAACAATTATTAATTGGGGAGATGTAACATTTGCTCTGTTTAGTCGTGATCGTAATATTCGCCGGAAAATGGCTTCCCTTCTGTCTCACCGAAAATGCGACGACATGTCGTTTTAGAAGACAGAGCACGAGGTCGGCACGTGGTGTAGGAGAAGGACGGCGCTATAATAATGAATGTGGTTTTGAGTTTTTTTTCTTCGTCTTTGTATCGGCGACGGTAATTAAAATATTTTATTATTTTATAACATAGCTTCTAGTTCTGTGACTGTGAGGAAGTTGGCAAAATATTTACGCGTTTTCTTCTCTGCCCATCTAAATTTGCTCCACTTTCGTACCTACAAAATTGCTCTCTTTGTGCATCTCAGTTTGGCCGGAGATATGGATGAACGGTGGGGATTTCGCCGGCGGAAGCTGCGAGTGGCGGTGCTGGCGGCGGTGCTGTTGCTGTTTCATCAGAATTCGGGACTCTGTTTTTCTCTGAACAATGAAGGTAACAGATTTCCGGTGCTGCTAGTGCTATGAAATGGGTTTGTTGTTTGGAAATTTGAGGAAATGGGGTTGTTTGGATGCAGGTTTTGCGTTGTTGAGGATTCGGGAGGGGATTGTGAGAGACCCATTTGGGGCTTTATCGAGCTGGAATGGTGAATTTGATCATTGTTCTTGGTTTGGGGTCGAGTGCTCTGATGGGAAAGTGGTGTTACTGTGAGTGAAATCTGAAATCTGAAATCTGAAATCTTCCATGGGTTTTTCTTCATTCAGAGCAGAGCTTGAAATAACTTTATTATGGATTTGGGGTTCATTTCCGCCATGAAACTTGCAGGGATTTGAGAGATCTCTGTCTTGGAGGAACTTTAGCACCGGAAATGGGAAAGTTGCTCCACATAAAATCCATGTAAGGAAAATCACACAGCATTATCAGAATTCATCTCCATTTTAGCTCAATCTTCTTCTTCTTCTTTGTTGCAGCATTCTGCGGAACAACTCCTTCCATGGGGGAATTCCCGAAGAGATTGGGGAGTTGCTTGAGCTTGAGGTTTTGGATTTGGGATTCAATAACTTCTCTGGGCCATTTCCCTTGGATCTTGGCAATAACTTGTCTCTAACCACCTTGTAAGGATTGAACCACTGCCTCTGTTCATTGGTAGTTTTCTTCAATTTCTTTCAGATTTTGATGAGTTTCTTTCTCTGGGCTTTGCAGGCTTCTTGATCACAATGAATTCATTAGCACCAGAACTCCTGAGGCCTATGAACTCAAGTTGCTCTCTGAAACTCTGGTGGACGAGGACGACCTCTCCAGCATTCACAGAACAGCATCTTGCAGCAGAGAAACTCTTGTGGATTGCCGGAGGCAGCTGCTGGGAGATGGAGGAATTCATTCTAACATGAATGGGAGGAGTCTATTATCCCCGGCACCATCGTTTTCTTCGCAATCTCCATCGCCCTCATTCTTTTCGTTACCGCCCTCGTCGTCTTTTGCTTCATCGCCATCTCCATTGTCCCCTTCAAATCCACCATTCCCCTTAGCAGCCTCCCCAAGTTCCCCATCACCATCTCCCACAAAGCCTCCAGCCCCCGCTCCTGCTCCTACTCCACGCCCACCAGCTCGAGCAAAGCCGCCAGTTCGTGCTCCTGCACCGTCTCGCTCCCGCAGCGTTCCACCGCGCCCTTCAGCTCCATCTCCAAGTTTGATTGGGGGAAGCAATAAGAACAACAATCGTAAAGTCCAAATTTTGACAGGAATTATTGCAGGATCATTGTTTGTACTGATCATAACTGTCAGCATTCTGGTCTGCCGAAGCAGCAAGGTTGTCACAGTGAAGCCCTGGGCTACAGGTTTGAGTGGACAGCTGCAGAAGGCATTTGTAACAGGCGTCCCAAACCTTAAACGATCCGAACTTGAAGCAGCTTGTGAAGATTTCAGTAACATAATAGGCTCCTTTACAGACATCACTGTCTATAAGGGGACTCTGTCCAGTGGAGTTGAAATAGCAGTGACGTCAACTGCAATAACATCTCCTGCAGATTGGTCCAAAACTAAAGAAGAACAGTTCAGGAAAAAGGTACAACAAGCAAACAAAACTTCTTCAAAGTTCATACGTACACATAGTTCAAAAAGCTCTTGACTTTTCTTTTGCCTTTTGTTTCAAGATTGCAACTTTATCGAGGGTGAACCACAAAAACTTTGTCAGTCTCATTGGGTTTTGTGAAGAAGTGCAGCCATTCACAAGGATGATGGTTTTTGAATATGCTCCAAATGGAACTCTTTTTGAGCATCTCCACAGTATGTATCTTTTTTCTTTTCATGTAAAGAAGTTGAAGTCATTGTTCTACTGATGTTCATGATATCATACTTCTTGCAGTAAAAGAAGCAGAGCATTTGGATTGGGAGACACGATTGCGGATAGCTATGGGTGTTGCATACTGCTTAGATCATATGCACCAGCTCAATCCGCCCGTCATACACCGACATCTCTGTTCTTCGTCGGTGTACCTGACCGAAGACTACGCTGCCAAGTTGTCGGATTTTAGCTACTGGAGTGAAGCAACAGCAGCAAAGTTAGGACCAGCAACTGTGGAGCTCTTGGAAACTTCACCTGCAGATTCAGAGAGCAATGTTTATAGCTTTGGGGTGATCTTGTTAGAAATGATTACAGGTAGAATTCCATTCTCGGTTGATGATGGCTCTCTTGCAGATTGGGCATCAGATTTTCTGAAGGGAGAGCAGTCGTTAACTGATATGGTTGATCCAATTCTGAGCTCTTTCAAAGAAGAACAGCTTGAGAATTTGTTTCAAGTGATAAAAATGTGTGTCGACCCCAAGCCGAAGCAAAGACCGACGATGTCCGAGATTGCTTCGAGGTTGAAAGAGATCACAGCATTGGAACCTGCAGGAGCAACACCAAAACTATCTCCTCTGTGGTGGGCAGAACTTGAAATCTTGTCTACAGATACAAACTGAGTTCAAGTTGAACATCAAGTCCAGACTTAACTTAAGCTATCCCTTTTTTTTCTCTCTTGGGTTTCAAAATTCTTTTGTTGATTGTAGCAATTTGTTGTTTGACTGTAAAATGAGGGGTAAAAGTTCCAAAAGATAGCAAAATAGCAGCAGGGTAAGGAATGTAACTTGTACATAAAAGAGAGCTGCTGAGCCAATGTTGTACTAGCTCCACAACATGGATATGTATATGCATGTTTCTTCCAAGAAAATGATCATGGTTTTGTGTGTGTTTTGCATCAACTGTGTGTCACCACCCCCATTTTCTTTATAATATATACAGTCCCAAGTGGCACTCTGATTGGCAAGTACTTGGAATCTCTTGATCATACTAGTTTAGAGGTCTCGAGTTCGAACATTCCAGTGAGCTTAACACAAAAAACTCTTGATGTCTCTCGAATTCGGACCCAACCCCCAAGGGGCGACCCAATTAGTAAGGGTTTAGGTCTTAGGTTCAAATCGTCTAATGAGTTTAATGCTAAAAATTCTTGATGTCTCTCGAATTCGGATCTGAACTTTGGGGTGGGTGCGGATACCGCTGGATATAGGGTATTTATACACACAAACACCATTTTCTTGATTAAAAAAGTTCCATGGGAATATCGACGTGTATATTATAAAGTGGAAGGTTGAAGGTTTCAAATGTTTGACCCGAGGAACAATCATTCATATTCTTTCACATTGCACATGTGAGAGCTGGAAGGGCAAGTGGAAGAGAAGATGATTGGTTTAAAGAAGTATATATGGTGAGAGAAACAAGACAGATAACACAAGGATGTTCTGATTCACAGGAATTTATAATATCTTATATAAATCACCTACGGTTTCAAATTATGATAAACTTTTATTTTAAAACCTTTTTATCTAATTTTACTATTTTTTAAACATATTGAGTAGTGATATTTTAATATTTTTGTTATAATTTATGCCATTAGGTTGTTTGGATAAATTAGATTAGTGATAAATAGATTTTAACCCTCTAGATTTTTCTTTTCAAGTTTAGCCAAGAATTAAATTTTTTTTTCTTTCAATTTCATATTTCTTGAGTTGCATGGCAAGAACATTCAGACAGAATTGATTATCTTATCTTTTAGAGTATTCGATTTTTGGGTCAAGGTAAAACATTTAATTACTCGAATGTATCAACAAAATGAGATCCAGTTTACTAGCCAGTCAAAATGTTTATAAAAGTATCATGGAGGAATTTTACCATAAATTCAACACAGTCAAAGCAAGCTCAATGGGCTTCTTTCATGACATGCTTTGGTCTCAGTGTCTTTCAATGGCCTTTGTTGTCTGTCTGAACACGAAGAAATTAACGGTACTTCCCTATCTTTTGATAGAGGACTTCTTTTGATAGAGGAAGGGTGAGTGGATGAGTCGTATCTCAACCATTGAAGTTTGTATAATGACTATATCTCTATATGGAATTATTAAGAGAAACATAGTTCCGCTCATCTTTATTTCAAGTTCGTTAAAAAGAAGTAGCTAGACATAATGCACATAGGCCAAATCAACGTATTATTATATAGAAACAAGCGAAACATAGCAATTCATACTATTGAAAAAGTTCTGCAGATAGTAGAGTCAGCAACTTATTCGTTGTCTCAAGAGCTTTGATCTTATGGCAATCCATATCTGACCTGAACCTTAGAGTTGAGATCAAATTAAATCAAATTAATTTGAGAGTCCACATATCCAAATGATTTCTAATTCCAATTCACTATAATTAAAACAATAATAGCCAACCATGTGATTCTTCAGTAATGGAGAATGGTTGTATAAGCAACGGGCAAAACACAAGTCTTTTTAGCTCAATCGAACCCAGAATGAAATGTACCTGGTCAATCTAAGCATAAGTATAAGACACCTAATACCTTTCTCAAAGTTGAATATTCAACCCTGCACCCTGCATTTGTTGTACTAAAGAAACAAACAACCTTGGTGATTTTACGACTAAAACAATTAAAAAAGAACCCAAAAAATTTACTCATGCATTGGATTGATTTCAAGACAACCGAAAACAATCCATTTGGGTCGATTTGGATAAAGTTTACAAGTTTGAGTTGATCTGATTTGGATAGCTTTCGTCAGAATCCCTCAATTAGGTTCTATTTTTCATCAGTTTGGTAGTCGAGTGGTTCCACAAGGTTGGTTTGTTCGCAGTTTGTTGTCATGTACACTTGCACTGCACTGCACCCCAGTGTAAAAGATGGGTTACTTCCAAACAGAAACTTTCACTGACATTATAAGAAAAGACCACACAGATGACAGAACCAGACCCAGAAATTATTGAAACCAAACAGAATAATGTAATAATGCTGTAAATGTTGTAAAACCTGCGCACAGACCACGTGTTGTTTCTCCTTCTTTGATGAGACCCCACGTGTTGTTCTCTGGGTGAGAAGAAGCAATATGGCCAAGCTCTTAGATGCTGCCAAACATAAACACTTTGCAGTTCACGAGCAACACTTCACAATATGTAGTTTCCCTTTTCTTTTCTTTTTCTCCAGAAACCAGATTTTTCAGACTTTAAACACTCAAGAAACAGAAGCCTGCACTAAAAATATCAAACTATGTAATTTCCTTATACAGTCTATACATTGAGTTGAAACATAGGTTCTCTGTGCACAATAGCTGACATATATGTACAGGTATTCCTCTGAAGGGTCAACTTACAGAGATGTCAGAGTCACCTGCCTCAAAAAACAGGTCCCTCAAACTATACAAAATCAACATGTAAAAGCACCCACAAAAGTACTGGTGCTGTATAATATGATCTTTTACTCCACTTTATTAGCTACCTGAACAGAGAGTTATTGAGGAGCTTCTTCAAAGCATTTTAATGACCCAAAGCTTGTGTTTCTGTAAGTGCAAATATACAAGACCAGGTCCAATCAGATTAGCATCTGAGAGACACTTGCAGAGCTTGAAGTAAGTTTCCACACTTCCAGGTTCCCGAATCCGTTTTCTTAGGCCTTGCAGCACAGCTACTCTGTCCAAGTATTCTGGGAGAAAACCCAAATCAACCATTTTTACTAATGTTTCTGCAGCATCACTGAAATGCCCTCCTTTTATGTAACCCCTTAGCAGCCATGATAGGCTCTTCTTCTTCAGCAGGGGACTTATAATCTCAATCCTGGTAAGCAACCGGTTCATTGCTCTAGTCTCCTTCTGTGAAGCACAGATGGCTAGCACGATATCATAGAGATCACTATCAGCCTCCTTACCTACAAGCTTCATTTCCCAAAGTTGTCTCTCTGCCTCAAGTCCTCGCCCGGCGCAAATATACATAGCAAGAAGTCTCTCATGAGCCACCCCATGAATTGAAGAGCTTCCCTCTTCAAGCACCCAGTTGGATAATCGTACTCCATCGGCTAGAAGCTCTGTCTGATATATCTCCACAAGTCCAACATTGTCTTTATCAAGTTCGGCTACTATTCCATCTCTTGTGTAACTTTTGAGTTTGCGTAGAGCTTTTGCAAATTCATTCAGCTCTTTAACCACAGCAGTCATGGCGATGAGGTAGCTATAAACCTCTGGATTTAATCCAGATTCTCTAAGATGCAGCACCAATTTCACTGCACCCCTATAGTCACCATCAACCTAAGAGAATTGATTTTCAAGATCATAAGCAATTGAATTTTTCACTTGGGGTTGTGCTGAACAAACATAACAATTTGAAAGTAGTAATTTAAAATCCTTAGGCAGCTAATCCACAACCATTGCTGGTTAAGAGAAGAAGAATTACAGCAGTGTGCTAATATAGTCACGAGATTGGATTAACTCGGTCTTATACAGCTCAATGTTTTTCGAATATGAATGAAACCATAGGAGTGTGCCACTAATCCAAACAAGAGAATAGTAGTAGTGATGCATATGAAATGGAAGTCCAATACAACAGTCAACATAAATGATGACATTGAGAGAGGCAATTCGACGACCAAAAAAATTGAACAAGAGGCAAGAAATACAAATACTCTGACTAATGGGAGAGTAACGACAACTAAGATCCAAAGAAAATTACAATGAACAAAGACATGCCCTAAAGTTTTCAATGAGTGAAACCAATGACACCATAGTTCTGGTAGGGAAAAAAACACCCTAAACAAGATTTCATTGTTTTTCCAAATCCTACCTCTGCAGAAATAAACTTCACTAACAACATAACTGACTGAGTTTGTCCAACACTCAAACACAACAATAGATTCAAACATGCTTAACCACAATAGAACGCAGCTTAACCATAAATTTCAAAATTACTGTTAAACCATAATACCCTGAATGCCCCATCTAGCTCTCTGATGAATAGACCTGCACAGTTCTTCCAGGAGCCCTTCAATTGCAATTAGACAAACACAACGCCAAAAATATCCCTTACCACCTTGACCAAAGCCATCACAACAAAAACCCGATGCTGAATATAGAGTGCATAATCAAAATCCAATAAGATTAAGATACTAACCTAAATGAGTACTAGAGGAGTAAAATAGACAGAGTAAGGAATCTCTAAGATTAGGCATTTCAGGATTCAAAATACGACACCTGAAGTGTAGTAAACAATGATCGAAGTGCTAAACTTACATTTCATTTCCGATTTATTGATGTAATAGATAGACACAGCAAAATAATACTGATATTGTCTTTTAAGCAAGGTCAATGGCTTAAAATATGAAAATGGCGATTAGAAGAAGGCTTACCATCATCTTCCATGCGAGATAACCGCTTGGTCCCCCTTTATGCCCCTCCCGATCGTCCTTCATAAAAGCAATCTTGCGTCCCAAGACCTCTTTCACGAACGAAATAGCTTGTTCCTTCTCGCCCATTTCCCAATACAAGGAAATGACTTTTTCTATCATGCTAAAATGAGGTTTCAAACCTACACAATCCATATCTACGAGAAGGTCAACCACATCTCCGACGTTATGGTCTCCCTCAACCAATTTTTTAATCCAACTGCACATAATAGACACCATCAGCTCCATGGTCTCCTTGTCGACCCGATTTTCTTTCTGGAGCCACTCAAAAACCTCAAGAGCACACCATGAATCTCTCCCTTCTTGAGAGAAGTACACAAGCACAAGCTGAAATTCCCTCGCTGAAAGGCGGTCATTCATTTCTTCGAGAACATCCGATGGTTCCCTCGTCATGCGCTCCAACTCCTCGATTGCCTCAAAAAATCCATCTCCCATTTCGTCTTCGTCGTCACTCGTGATGAACTGGTCCAACTCAACCGATTTGAACAACCTCAGGTCCCGAAACTTACCGGCTTTCAGAACAGAGAAGGTAGAATTCCGGTGGTTGCAGGTAATGCAAGAAATCATAAAGCAAAAATTTACCGGCGAGTGGCAATACAATTGGGGAGTGGAGAAGAATCTTTGCCTCTGAGTTTTCAGTGCAGAAGATAAAGAAAACGAGAAACCAAATTGAGTCACCGGAGTAAAGCCCTGGGCACAAATCATTTTGTACTTCTAGTTCAAAGTACCAAATTCAAACGAAAATGACCGAGTTGAGAAAAGTCCAAAACCGAATGGAGTAAAGCAAGAAATAGAAGAATCATTCGTTCCTCGCCTCCGACTTTTCGAAAGCAAACCAGAATATTAATCAATTACGAGCGCAATCCGAACTCAGATGACAGTAGATTATCAACAGATAGTGAAAGAAAAACAAAGCGAAAAGAGGGATAGCAGAGAGAGAGAGAGCAAACGAACGAGAAACCCCTTCTTCAAGAAACGGTGAATCGAATTGATGATCGGAAATAAGAAACCGTAATCTTCTGGTTCTGGGTGAGGATTGAACGATGGCGATGGCGATGGTGGAGGTCGGAGTGAGTGGTCGCAAATGGCAGCGTTTTGCCGCCACTGCAAGACAAAGCTTTGGAGTTTATATCATAATTCTTCCGATGGTGAAGACTACTAAACCGAATTAACGGTTATGAAGTTACATAATTGCCCCTCAATTAAATCCTTCATTGTGGCTTTCTTGTCTGTAGAATCACGCCAATTATTTGATTAATGTATACTATAATTAAATTATGATGTTGAAAGAATTTGATTAAAATAATATATTCGTCAATTATTTTCGGACCCTTCCACCTACTTTGATTACAATTTTCAAATACCCTTTTGATTAATTTAACTCGAAAAATTTTATTACAAACAAACTTTTAGATCGAGTATATATGCTCCTCTTTCTTTCTTTCTTTCTTTTTTACAATAATTGAAATGGAAAATTCGTGAACTCATCGTCTCTAGAAAATTCTCGAACTCGTCATCTCTTGGTCATAAACTACTAATTATTGTTCAACTAAATTCATGTTAGCAATATATGAGCCTTAAGTAATGGATCTACATGTTTAAATTACTTAGTTTAATACTTTATGTCTTAATTAATGACTTATATTTAAACTACTTATCTAATACTTCACCAAATGAATCATTTGCGATACAATTTATTTTTGGTTAAATTATCTAATCTTTTAGCGGTTAATCTAATTTGGCCTTTGTAGCTTATGTTTAATTTTTATTTTAGTTTCGTTATTATCTAATTTAACATTTTTTAGTACAACAGATATGAGGTGTGAAGATTTGAACATTCTATTGAGTGGATGTCATTTTTTTTAGTACAACAAGTGGAGGTGGGAATCGAACTCACAACCTTTTGGTTGGAGATATATGTCAATGACCTCGCTTTGATAGGTAAATGTCATTTAATACTGAGCTATACTCATATTAGAGTTTTGATTGAACGATTATATGGTTGTAAGTAGTCGCTGAATTGAAATATGTGACACATTTTTCTATTCACATGATAATTATTTGGTTGGGTATATTCTACTATAATATAATTTAAGACTAAACAGAAAAAAAAAAATTGAAGGATAAAAAGCAAATTAGGAAAAAAGAATCAATTGAAACTTTCAAAATTATATGTACCGGATTCTAACAAGTCAAAACACCGCTATTGATGTGAAAGTTTTAAAAATATAAGAACCAAATTGATAATTGGGGTTTGAAAGTAGTTAAATTTTCTAGGCTATTGAGAATTAAAAGAAAAATTACATGTACCACTATTCAAATATTCTTACAAAGAAAAAACAATAAATAGTATTATATAGAATTTATTCTTTAAGAAACAGTTGTAGGTATATGACATTTTTTCTCTATTACCTTGTATCCAAATATTTTATTTAATTTACACGTCAAAGTTTAGTTAAATATAATTCAATTGGTCAATGTAATGTCTCCAATCAAAACAATTTGATGAAGAAGCTACAAAGATGGTGTGTTCGACTTCCACCCTATTGTTGTAAAAAAAAAAATGGTTGAATATAATATTTTAATTAAAATTACCAGCTTTTTATGATGCTACATGTTATATTTAACAATAGAATATGAAAAATGTGAATCACAACTTTCTCTTATTTTATTTCTCATTATTAGTTTACTTTATAATAATATAACTACTCTATAATCTATTTAAAATTATTCCATTTATTAACAGACATCAATGATAATAGTCCTTCAATCTCAAATAATTATAGCAAAATGTTGGATTTAAATTCTATTTTTATGTTTATATTTTTTGTTTTGATTTGTTTCGGTCAATTTTAATATTTGTATTTTTAACTTTGGTTCATTAAAAAATAGTTGTCAGTGTAGGTAGGTAGGCCTTGTGTCCGAAGATATTTTATTTAAATTATACATCAAATTTGTTGGGCCCATTATTTTAATTAAAATTGTCAGCTTTCCGTGGGTTGGAAAAAGGCTACATAATATATTTGACAATACAGTAGGTAAAACGAGAATCACAACTTTCCCTTATTTTATTTCTCATTATTAATTTACTTTAAAATAATCAATATAAAATTATTTCAATTATTAACCTTCTTAAAAAAACAAACATAACTCAACATAAGTATTTATCTCATATCATTTTAGTAAACTATTAGGTCTAAATACTATTTGGTTCTTATACTTTTGACATTGGCTTATTTTGGTCGATGTATTTTCAAACCGTCTATTTTAAGTGATGTACTTTCAACTTTTGTATCTCATTTATTTCAACTGTAATTTTACCATGACAACATTCACTAAATGACTTGAAATGTAGCTCTAAATTTGTATTTTCGATTGTGTATAAATTTTATAAATAGAGATTAAATTGGTCGCTTTTTTAAAAGTATAGATATCAAGATAGAAGTTTTGAAAGTACAAATATTAAAATGAACAAAAATTAAAAGTACAGGAACAAAAATATATAAACAAAAATATATAAAAGTAAAAAGTACATGTACCAGAAGATTATTTAAACCTACGTATTATATTACAAAATGTAAACTAATTCCACAAATTATAAATAATGGGCAGGGAGAAGCGGGCTACGGCCCAGTTCATAGTTTGACGACGCAATAATAGATCACCTCGTCAGTTCCATCTGGCATTCGGCCCACGCACTGACGGCCCGGCCCAAGTTTCGTCAACGTCAGCACAGTTCAGCCCAAAAGGAATTGTATGGGCCGGGTAGATTACAATTTACAAGCCCAAACGGAATTGCCATGTAAAAACCGAATGAAAATCATGGCCCAAACTGAATCTACGTGGCCAAGGCAACCTAAGGAGAATTCTAGAGAAATTGGGATAAATGCAGAAATAGTCGGTCATGTACAGATACTAGAATGAATTATTATTAATAAACCATAATTTTATAATAATAATAAACCAAAAAAAGTCTAATTCACTTGATTATTGTTGTTATCATCCATTTATTATTACTAATTATTTTATCATATTTGAAGTTAAATTACAAACCTAGTCCTTGAATTTTGAGAATTATGTCCAATATAATAGATTAGACTCTGTTTTGGACCCCAAAATGTCTCGGACTCATAAAAATATTAATCCTTACTCATTAGACCACGGATCTTTCAATACACCCTGATTAATTTTTATCTGCTCAAATACTATTCATTTTTGTTTTTTTCAATGTTAAGGGTAGTGCAAGGCGACTTTCTACGTGGCAAGAGAAGGGGAGTCAAAAGGAGCTAGGACAAGGAGTAATACTTTGGACCTCACCATGACCTTGGAAATGGCTGAGGTCGTTTTGACATATTCTGAAGCAAACCACTGTCAACCGTCATCCCACTAAGCCTAATTATTTTCTGCAGTATGGTTTGATAACTACTAATTAAGTTGATCCCACTTGTCAACAGTATAAATAGGAATGTTATCTTCACGCCTAGATAAACTTGCTTTTCGTTCATACCTAGGTACACTTTCGACGACATTCGATTTTCACACAAGAACACTCTCGACTTTCTCTCTTTACACACAATATGTTCGAGCTTTTTGCACCAATTTCTTTCCCCCCAATACTTTGTTCTCACAAACTTCTCTCCCTATCCTATTTCTCCTGATAAAACTCTCAAATATATATACATATGTATATATTTAGATATACAATATATTTGTGTTATGGTGGTCGAAAAACGACTCTCACGAGAGTGCTTCTTCAATTAATGGGGTCCAAAAAGGGAAGAAGTTTGTTTTCAAAGAATGTGGCAGACAAAACTTGAAGCCAAACCCGTGTTGATTTGGAAAAACCATGACCAGAAATGGCACCGCTTTTGAAAAATCAACACAAAAGTATATAATAATGCTGAAAGATATATCCCTAATAATTAATGAAATCACCAAATTTTCATAACCAAACTTCAAACTCTAAACACTTCAAATTCAGCAAAGACATTTAATTTCCATTTCTAGGAAGCATACACCTCTGGCCTAACTCATCAATGGCTGCTTTTAAAACCCTAATATTCCAAAAAATAAAAATTTCCCTTCTTTTAATTTTTTTCTCAAATATCTCCCCCTCCAACCCATTCCCCCTTCCCCATCTGGCTTCCTTTAAACCCTAATAATTCCAAACTCCCAGCTTTTTAAGCTCAGCACATCATTTTTCAACCTAATTTGTTTATATATATATATATATATACACATATCTCTTGGGGGCACTTTTGTCTTTTTGTCTTTCTTTCTTTTCACCTTATTCCCTTTGCAAATGGCATGTGATAGAGAATATTATTAGCCAAATGCTTCTAAATTTTGAATCTTTATAAAGCAAATAATGGGTGGCACCTATATTAGGAAATGTCTTCGGGGTTTTTCTATTTCATTGATGCGAAAGGAATGAAGGGGGGTGTCTTGAGGTGTGAATGTGTGTACCTTTCGATTTCGATCAACAAAAAAATGACGTGTAACTGCGTTTAACTTACTATTTGAGTTTCACCTACTATTTCTATATCATAATATTGATATTACCATCAATAATTTAGTGAATACAATGGTACATACGGATGATAGATGATGATTGGCCAACCACCCACGTTTTAGGTGTCATCATACATATCGATAATGGCTTATGATAAATGGTAAGGAACTGACTTCGAAAAAGATGTCATCATAAATTACGATGACACTTAGTAAACTCGACAGTTATAAGTCATCATCAACAACCTAAATGTCATCATATATTATTATTTTATGATTAAAACAAATAATGGTCTCGATATTTTCACCCATGCAAAAGGAACTAGAGTAAAGGGTGGCTTGATAATCAATAAAATAAATGTGTGTACGTTTTGATCAACAAAAAAGTACGGTTATCGTTTCATTCATTATTTAGATATTGAGAAGACCCACGACGGTATACACATGCTATTCATTGATTAATTAATATCTATATATTCCCATTAGTATTCAGCGAATACAATACTACATACTTTTTGAATCTAAGACAAATTAAGGGCGATTGTCTCTTCCTTGTTACATCTCCGCTCTATCCTCCGATAAAAATAATATAATTTTTTTTTTCTTATACCTCTCTTGGGTCCACAAAGAGAGCTCTATTTGGTGGGGCCTTAGTCCATTCCAAGAGATGATTATGATCCCCATTATTACTTTTCAAGCCCTTAATGCACCACAAATCTTGAGGACAAGACAGCAATTTCCAATGAGGAATCTCCTTCTTCAGCACATCATCTTCCCCTCCAATCTCAGTAACTATGACTTTACAGTCCCTCGATTTCAGGGCCATGTTGTGCACGTATTGGCACAGCGCTCGAACCAGCCGCCCAGAGAATGGGCCCTCGTGGTGCACCCCGTATACAAAATAGAACCCAAATGGCTCGAAAAAATCCGCCACCGAACCCACCTTGAGCCATGGCAATATTTTGTCCACAAATTTTAAACTCTTGGTGTATATAATCCAAGCCACTGGGGCTTTCCCTAGCCTTAGCTTGAAAACTTCCCCGCTGTTCCATAGGCTCACCACGGCCCAGCTCGCCGGAGTTTCCCCTTTTTCGCCTGAAAAGTCGCCGCCGGCGCCGGCGGAATAATATGCCATCCATGTCCCTAGGCTCAGCTTGTTCCTTAATATGCTGTTTATGTCTTTGGGGAAGAACTCGGCTGTGGCCATGTGTTTTTTGTATATTGCTTCTGCTTCCTCTATTTTCAGCCGTTGGATCTTGATTTTTGATGGATCGATTTGGTAGGGACGATTTGTTACTGGGTTTGCCAGAATCCTTGCTGTTCTGAACTTAATATACCTGTTTCACAGAGTTTAATTCTAATATCATATTTTGAAAACTAACTAAACCGTTAATTATTCTTGAATTTTTTATTAGGCATACTTTAATAGATTCTTATTTCAAAATTATCCTATGCAATATAATTCTTAAATAATACCATTACTTGGCATAAGCATTAAACTAATATAGAATAATAAAAAATATTTATTAAATATAAAATTGAAAGTTTAAGAATTGTGTTAGATTCTTATTTTAAAATTATCCTATGCAATATAATTCTTGAATAATACCATTACTTGGTATAAGCATTAAACTAATATAGAATAATAAAAAATGTTTATCAAATATAGAATGGAAAGTTTAAGAATTATGATGGGATAAATAACTAGACCAAAGATATAGTTGCAATTAATATTTAAGTAAGTTTTATTTTGGCCCCAACTTTTAAAATGTCAATTATTTTAAATTTACTATAGTTTCAACTCCATCCATTTGGTTTAATATATATCTTTTTGAAACTTTTATATATTAGCCGTTTTGTGTATAAAATAATCACGTTTTTCCGTCAACAAAAGGTGAAGTATGGTGTAGTGGGTTTGTGGCCGAATGAAGTTACTCCTCTTCGGATCGAGTCCCGCAAAATACGTGCTCCAATTATAAAGAACCTCTGGTATAAGTCACACAGTATCGATTAAACAATAATCACGTTTTAAAATGATTGAAGTCCGAGTATTTATTAAGAAACAAAATTAAGGAAGGACCTGAAGTTGTTAATGAAGAGATTGAGGGAGGCGTGGTTATCTTTATGAGTGGCCATGCAAGAATAATCAACATCATTGAAGGAGAACCAGTGTTCCAAATGGCGGACGAGGCTGGACCCAATCCCACGGTGGCGATACGGCGGCGCCACTCTCAGGCCAAGAATGTAGCCCACTTTGGCCGGAAAACTGGGTGCCGCCTTATGACCACCAGCCACCACGGTCTTTATAGACCCTTGAATCACGCCGACCAGCTCCTTCTCCCACTCCGCAACCTATAATAATAATAATAATAATATTTTAAAATTTTCTTTTAACTTCCCCTCCTTATTTTTTTAAAACTTTATATGCATAAAATAAAATGACAAAATAAATTCATATTGTCCCCTGCTAATATTTTTTACTTGAAATACATAGTGAGACCTTTTCCTTTTTAAATAAATACTAAAAAAAAATTTAGTAATAAACAACTAGCTAGTCATTAATGGACTAGTCGAGGACACGTCTGAAGAGGAGGCGGGCGCCCTCTAAGTTTACCACCCTACCCACTTCGGACTATGATCGAGGAGCTGACGAACGAGAATCGTTACCAAAAACCTGAAACCGCTCGACTACCTTGCTCATGAGTACTTATTCTTATTAGGGTCAAGGATGGATGAAACCAATCGTCAGCACAAATTGCGCCCGCTCGACAATGCGACTAGGACTCATGATGAGGATCAGTTGAAGTTGAAAGAAAGGTAAGAGAATTAAAGGAAGGAAATTAAGGATAGAAGGCAGATAACTAAATTACCAGCATCTTATACAAAGGACTGTTACGAATCCTACAAATGGGGTCACCCAAAGTATCTGTGAAGAGAAACACACGTTTTGATGGGCCAACCTCGCATCTTCTTTCAAGATCCACCACTCGAGCTCTGTCGAATTGACCATCATAGCTTCTAATAACCAAGCCCTTAAACCCCATTATTCCAAAACCTCAAGATTAATTAAGGAAAAGGCAGATCAAACTATATTGCATAAAAGATGAGGTTGAAGGGTATTGATAAAAATGAGGAGAATTTATACACAAGTGAGGGAATGAAGAGGGGCATTGTAAATTGTATCAACATCAAACCTAATTTGTTTCAAAGTGTTAAATACGAGACAAAAAGTGATTAATGATAGAACGTGGTTTTCCTTGTCTGTGGCTTAACTTTTCTTTTACTGAATTTAGGCAGACCATGTTAGGATAACCCTATGCTCTCTCTCCATGTTGCATACTCTCTTTTTTGTTAACTAATTTTTAACCCAATAACTTTGGATACATTATTTCCAATTCTAAAACAGACCAAGATGCGTCGGCAGAGGGAAGATATCATATTATATAATAATTATTATTAATTAACATTATGCTATTTTTCTTTTTCTTTTTTTTTTTAATCACCCTTTTGGGAACTCATGTAAAACTAGAAATTCTCACCTTATTATTGAACGCCAAATAATACAAAGGGAAAAAACACAGATCCATGACAAGAAAGTTCCAATTCCAAGGCCAATCATGCATACCCGGAAACCTTTACGAGAAACTATTCATGTTTTTGGTGTCTTTCCTTTTTCTCTTCCTTTGGTTAACAAAATTCACTTCGGCAAATTCCTCAATCTCTCATTTCTGATGTTTTGTGAGGAAAAATGGGGAGATGGGTTATTTGTGTTATTGGGTTAAGTGGTCCTTGCTTCCATCTCTATGCTTTTAATAAGAGGACGAGGATCTCGATTCAGGTGCACGGTTTGACTTTTGTTAAAATCGCAACTCCATAAGTTTTAACTGTGTACTACTCAAGATCTAGCTATCATTTTAAATCCTTGGTATAGGTAAAATTCTCAACATCATAAATTTCAACAGCTAACATTCAAAATTTTCTCAGATTTAAGATATCTAATCCGTTCCGATCTCCCATTGCCACATTTGTTGTACTAAAAACGGGATAGAAATTCATCGGGAGGGAAAAGAGAAAGAGAAAGGGTAGTAAATAAAGGGCATATATGCCTAATTTTCCACTAGTTGGGGAATTATTTGTTTTTTCCTTTTATATGTATTTAGTGGGAAATTGATTTAGAGGGCGGCCCCTCCCCCACATCATGTATTTGGCAAGCGTGTGCAGGAATATTGGTAAGAAATAGCCAATAGGGCTAATGAGGAAAACTTGTTAATTAATGGCCAAATAATTGATGCCATGATTTTTCATGTGTCAGTCAAGTGTGTGGATTGAGTTGAAAATTAAATTCCTAAAAAAAAATGTTGAAAATGAAATTAAATATTCCACCTCAGCCAGATAAGCTAAGAGAAAGCCCTGGAGAATCTGAACAAATTAAAAAGCTTTTCAATTCAGAAAAACTTAATTACTTATGGGAGTGAGTTAAAATTGAAAATTTCGAAAATGATTTAGCCGAGAAATGAGGTGATTTGGCCAATGTGTATGTATAGATTAGTTTGGTTTAGTGAAATATAAAATTCACAATTAACCAGTTGGTTCATTTTAGAATGATTTTATTGGAGTTTTCTCGAAAGAAAAAAAAAATATTTTTAAGTAAGTACACGAAAAAAATTTAGGCTAATAATGTGAAATGTAAAAGTTTTAAGAATTATTTATAGTAATAAAAATAAAAATAAATATAAATGTGTATCCATTCAGGTTCAATTAGTTAAGATATCCCGATTAAAAGGTAGAGAAAATTAAGTATAAATATAAATTTATTTTTTCAAAGTGGAAAAAAAAAATTTCTTTTCCAAATAAAATAATTTCAAAAGAGGAAAAAGGGCAGGAGGGCATGTGTCGAATTTCCCCGGCCCCTATCTTTGGTCCGCTCATGCAAAATTATCCACGCCTATTTTCGTGAAGTTTTATTTATTTATTTTATATAAAAATTACGAATATACCGGAGAGATAAGATTACTGAACATTTTAAGTAAAGATTCAATTTCAGTGGTCAAAACAACATAATTTAGTAGTAATTGACATATATTTTATTTTCAAGTATCACCCATCAGATACTTTAAATTTCTATATTTTTTTAATATATTTAAATCTACGAGAGTAGGCCCATAAAATTTTAAGGGACGGGCAAACTAAAGAAAAACTACAGGATGTTCTATATTTCATATACACATTTTTAGCAGCGGCAAATTAAGGGACCGACAATTGTCCCTCTCTTTCCTTCTTCGCTCCGCCATTATTTAAACCTTCAACTTTGAACTTAATTTAAACTGCATTTAAAATTTTGTATGTTTTATTCTAGGGATAGTTGAGAAGGCAAATGAAAAATGGAAGGTATAAATATTGATTTTGTTAAAAAAATAAATCAATTTTAACCTACCATTTGTCCACATTAAAAAACGTGTAGAGATCTTAATCTCCCCTCTATATAATGCAATAACTTAAGAAAAAAAATAAAAGAAGTTATTAATGTCTCAATCAATTAATCTGTATTCGAGTCAATTAAATCTAAATGAACTAAGAATAGAAGAGGATGAAGTGTAGGAGTTGTCTAGTGAGTGTTTTGTTGGAGGGAATAATTGGGTGTGTTTGTGTTTGTAAGGTTGTTTTTTAGGCATAAAGGGGTGGAAATGGCAGCCTGGCACTTTTCCAATCTTTCCATTGATTCATAGTGGACCACTCCCCTCCCTCCCTCTATGTTTTTGGAAAAATTCACCTCTACTAACCCAACCTACTTATTCATATTTTATTTCTTATATATTAAAATTCTTTATTTAAAGATCGAGCGTTTGAAGTCTCATCTTTCAAAATCATTGTCTATTGACTCTCTCTTTGAAGATGGGTCATCATCCATCTTTAGAGAACAATATTTAGGTATTGATTGGTCATCACCCATCTTTTATTGACTACAACCCAAGTTTTAACAATTAGGAGAAGAAATGTCGAGAGAGGTGTTTTTTTTTTAATCAAGAGAAATTATGAGTTGCAAATCATGATAGTTTTGGACTAGGTTAAAAGGATGTTGAAAACATAATTTAATGATTATCCAACAATATTTCTTCTATACCAAATAGTTTCTATCTAGCCAAGTTATAATTGTTTTATTTTCTTTTATTTTAAATCTAAAATCCTTAGTTTAAGGTGGAAAATCTCAAACTAAATTTTGTGTCTAATAAGACCCTAATTTATAAATTCTTTGTCCAACAAATTTGTGAATTTTGTAAAATATTGAATAATAAAAGATATATAAAATTGAAAATCATTAATCATCAAACATTTTTAAATCTAGAAAATCTATTATACTTAACATAGATAAAATAGATCCCTTAACTAGTTGAGCTAGATTAAAATAGAAAAGGTTGTTACGATTATAGCAGAAAAATAATTTGTACTCAAATTGACTTAATTTATATCCATGAATCAATTACGAAAAGGTCAAACTCCATCAGTTGACAACCTATTCAACAAATACTCCTATCATTGCCTGAAATATTTTGCAAAGTAGTATTTTTAGAAATATTACAGAAAACATATAATTAACAAAATCACCTTTTTAAAATCTGATTTCCACTTATAAATCACTGTAGTTCCAGAAACTTTTCCCGTTAACTTGACGACCCATGGCATTGGGTCGTCCAACAACTTTTGTGGAAACGAACTTGCGTCCAGCCCAGTAAGCCCGCGAAAATGGGCCTTGAGGGGCTTGAGAAGGCCCAATAATGTGGGCCAGAACAACAATTACCGAGCCTAATTAAAAAGGCAGGGAAATTGTGGCAGTTTGAGGGGTCGGGTAAACTTTTAAGTTGTAACCGACCAACCGCTGGCTCCAGTGTCTGTCTGGAGGTCCCTTTCTTCAACACCACTGACACTCCCTTTTCTCTCTTTTTCTTCTCCTAATTTTGCTTTCATTACACTCAGTACTCACAGTCACGCTCCTCTCACATCTTCCAACCAACTCCCCACCATTTTTACCAATTTTTTAATTTTTAATTTCTTGCTCGGCGGTTCCTTTTCCAAAGCTTGCTCGGTAAGATAAGAGCTATGAGAAGATGGTCTTCAAAAGCAACCCCCAGCGATGAGTTTCGAGGACACGTCGATTGGGAGCTCCGGCCGGGCGGAATGATCGTCCAGAAACGCAATGCCGGGTCGGGTTCCGATCCTTCCTCTTCGGAGCGTCTCATCAAAATCAAGGTCTCCCATGGCACGTCCCACCACCTCATCACCCTCGACTCCCACTCCACATTCGGTACAATTTTGATTTAATTTGATTTCCCAATTTCTAGGGTTTTTTTTTTATTTTGGGAAATTTGAGATTAAATGTGGAGGGGATTGAATTAATTGGAAGGGGATCTGAAGAGGGCGCTGCGGGAGGAGACGGGGCTGGAGCCGGGGGAGCAGAGGGTGCTGGTCAGAGGGAAGGAGAAGGAGGACGACGAGTCGCTACACATGGCGGGACTGAACGACATGTCGAAAGTGGTGCTCATGGAGGATCCGGCCAGCAGAGACCGGAGGCTGCTCGCCGCCATCGGAGCGGAAGTCGACAAGTTCTCGGAGAAGGTACCGGAATAATGATCGGAAGAAACGAAACTAATTTCGTGTCTTTTATTTTTGAATTTTTCGGTGGGAATTTGAATTTGGGTGAAATTAAATTGGGTGGTGTTTGGATGTAGGTTACGGCGGTGGAAGGCGGCGTTAACGGCGGGAAGACGGTGGAGGAGAAGGAAGTAAATGTATTGACAGAGCTGTTGATGACGCAGCTCCTCAAATTGGATGCAATTGAGACTCATGGCGATTCCAAACTGCAAAAGAAAACTCAGGTACTCTCCTCACTCACTATATATATATATATATATAATATTTTGGTTAAAATTTGGCTTGATAATAAGCTTACATCACATATCAACTAGAAATTAGGTTGCTTAATAAGATTAACCAACAGAGTAAATATAATATAATAGATTAAATTAAACTTTTTTGAAAAATATGTGTCGAATTTGAAAAGCACTCAAAGTAACACATATTTTTAGTCCTTTTTAATTATAGTGAATGTTAAAATTAGTAAATGATAAGTGACGTGTGTTATAAATGTTTTCATCTAATTTTTTAAGAGGTTGGTATGAAATTTTGACTTATTCTTAAATAGTATTAAAATGATGTTTTCTTTAGTGGGGTATAATGTCCTAAACTTAAAATGATGATTTAAATTTTGAAATATTTGTTTCCTCAAAAAAAAAAAGAAATATTTGTATAATCTTTATATAAGGTAAGTAATTACTAATTATTTTGCTAATTTCCTTTTAAAGAATAAGACAAAAAAACATGTTCTAAAAAAAAATAATAATAATAATAAGACAAAAAATAAGAAAAAGGTTGATACTATTCAATATATTTTGATAAATGAAGTATTAATGTTACTTCAATTTCAATTTTTGTTCTCTTTTTAATTTTGGGATGTATAATAGAAACATGATAATTTAATGGGTTAGGTGGTTGGTGCTCCCCCTCGAACAAGAACAATCAAAGAGAAAAAGTTTATAATAATTAAAGTGTCTTAAATTATATGAAAGTCAATGAATGAAAAGGAGTCATGGACTTATTTTTTGACGGCAAATGAAGGTGTAATTATAGAGTGAAATTCTCACGATTCATGATATTTTTCGTGAATTAAAAGTTTTATGTCAATATATATTATAAAATGTCATGGAAACCAATATAACAAGTCAAAATTGTTGAGAAGTACTAATTCATCTATAATAATGATGATGATGATATTTTTGTCCCTATAAAAATTGTAATAAATAATACTTTCCAACATGATATTTCTATGTGGGACCTAGTATAGTGTACCAACTTATCAAGAAAGATTCTTCTAAAATCAAAAATAAAGAAATAATTAAAATAAAAAAAAAACTTATCGAGAAGGATTATCTATCTCATGGCTGAGGCTCATGTCTCTAAGCATAAGACAGATTATTCATTTAGTCTCTGAATTTTGAAGAATAGGTTGTCTTTTCTAATACAACATATTTGAGTGGGTATTTGAACTCACGATCTTTTAATTGAAGATAAGTGTCTAAATTAGTTGAGTCGTGTTCAGTTGGTTGAAGAATGAGTCATTTTTTAGTTTTCAAAAGTTGTATTTTAATCATTGAATTTTGATAAACGAATTTAAAAGGTCAGTGACTTCATTTTCTCATTGCCAATAATAGTGTGGTAGTTTATTGAAGGGGAACGATCGAAAAATAGAAGGACTAGTGACGATGGATTGGCATCGGGTGAGGGTTGACAACAACGATCAAAGGGAGATCAGGTGAGTAGTTGGCAATGGGAAAGGGAGGGGATGAGAGAGAGAGAGGGGAGAGGGAGTTAATAATAATAACAATAAGAGAATCCAAAGTAATCTTTTAAACTATCGATAAAATGTTTAATGTTATGTAACTAACAAGATAAAATAATCTTTAAACCCATTTCTCAAAACTTAGAATTGACATTGTAACTTTTGAAAATTCATATCCAAAATGACATATTCCTCAAAACTTAAGAGATGAAAAAGGATAACGACAATTAACTAAGTTAATGTATAAATCAAGTCTTAAAATTTATCTTAAATCTTAACATTTTTCTATTTGCCCCTAAAGTTTGTGTCAGACGTATATCCAACCTCTATTCATTTAAACATTAAAGAAATATCGAAATGTCATATATCCACTAGATTAAATTTACTTAACAAAAACAATTATACATTAACTTAATAGGTATCTCACGCACATTACATTAAACACAGAATTAAATTTCCCAAAAATTTAGCACAAAGGTTCAGATTTCAAAATTTATTAATCCTAATTTATTTTTGTATGTTGGGAAAAACAGGTCGTTAGGGTACAGAATATTGTAGACAGACTGGACAATCTGAAGGCCAGAATCTCAAATCCCGTTTTGAAGCAAACAAAAACTAACACAGCCAAATCTGAGCCGTTCAAATCTGGCATTCCCCCAACTTCAAAATTCAGTATCGGATTCGGCTCCACTAAAATAACCCACGATTGGGAACTCTTCGATTAGGGCTCCCATTTCCCCATCTGAGATCTGTACATATTCTTCATTTGGGCCCGGCCCAAATGGCCTCTCTTTAAGCCCAATAAACATCTTTGTGTACTGTGGTCTTGAATGCACTGGATTTTCTTTTCTTCACAAAATTCCTTCACTTGCTTCGCTCAAGTGACACAACAGACACAGTTAATCAGTGTTTGCCTTCAATTTTTTTCTCCTATACTTAGAATGTTTCCTCATGCATTACCTTTCACAAACATGTTTTTTATGGCAACTTCTTAGTTTCCCTCCTCCTAATTTACTCCTCTTCTCCATATTATTTACTGACAAATTAAAAATTAAAAGAAAAATAATAAGTGAATTCAATTCGATGACGATAATTAATAGAGTCAAACACTATACATACTTCGACCGTTAAGAAGCTATGAAGTGTTCCAATTTTAATTATAATCTATCATCAAATCATCTCTGTTCTAATGTAAATAATTAAAACGACGATTGAGGATGATCCTCTCGATCCTTGATCGTATGGTTAAATTGGGTAGAATTTGAATATGATCAGGAAGGGTATGCTTTAAATGGTATCAACTTCAAGTCTCATGCATGTATTGCAACTCGTAGGTGTACAAAGATAGATAAACAAGCATGTTAATAATATTTTTTATAATTAAAAACACTTAATTTATTCTCTTAATCCCAGGGTTTATAAAAGGCCTACAATTCCCTTCCATTTTCCTCACGCTTTTCATTCAATTGTTCTTCCCTTCGATCGGCCGAGGTATGTAATATATGTATTATTTGAAACTATGAATAATTAATTTTCTTGATCAAAAAATAATTACTCTAAAAATTAAACTTTATTTTTTTTCCCTCCAATTTTTTGTTCGTACGAAGAGATGGAAAGCTACGGAATGAGGATTGGCCAGGGAGGAGGACTTTTTCCGGCGATGGCGGCCACCGGGGCATTGCCACCATTGCCGCCGCCTCGCTTTGGCCATAGCTCTAACCACCACCACCAGTACTCAACTCCGACGGCGGCCGGCAGCGGCGAGAAGGTGCCGCCGCCACTGCTTGCCCCGACAAAGCAAGATCCCGACAAAGATCTTAGCGCCGAAGCCAAGCGGCTGAGAAGGTCAGTGTCAGACTGTCAGTCCACTCTCATTAAATTATCTTTCGAATTTTCTCTCATGCATATATGTATATATATATATATCTCTTTTTTTTTTATTGAAGATTTTTTATATTTAATTTAATTTAATTTTTTTTTTTGGGTTTTAATTGCTAGAGTTATGCAAAGCAGACAATACTCACAAAAGTACCGACTCAAACAGCTTCACTACATTTCACAGCTTGAGTCCGAACTCAAAGCCCTTCAAGTAAATAATTTAATAAATAAAATAATAATCCAATCCCCTTTTTTCTTAAATTAAAAAAAATGTCAAAACCATTTTAATAATCGATGAAATTTATTAGTTTTTTAACGAATACAACAGGCAGAAGTAACAATTACCTCACCAAGAATCAAGTTCATGGATCGCCAAAATTCTCTCCTCCGAGCCGAGAATTATTCCATTAAAGAGAAATTATCGACTTACACCGGCGAACTTCTCTTCAAAGAAGGTTAATTTCTCTCTCTTTTTTTTCCATTTTCATTTGATATTGTCCGCTCTAAGTTTAAGGACTACTCCACAGCTCAATACGAAGAATTGAAAAGGGAGAGAAATATGCTTAAAGAGATCTACGAAGCTTATCAGCTAAAACTATTAGAGACGTTCAAGAACAATAATACCACTGCGGCTGGGAGTAGTTACCAGTTGGCGGCGATCGGGCAACAGGATGATATTAATCGGAAACGGCCCGACGCGGTGGCGCTGCAGCAGTTAGCGGAAATCGCGCAAAAATCGAACCCGTTTATCATGCTTGAAAATTAAATCAAACCCTCTTTCTTTCTCACACATGGTAGAAGTTGAATAAGACATTGGAACTTTGTAATTTGAAAATAATTGTAATAAACCCTAATTGGATGATCTGTTACATATGATCCTATATTTATATGTGAGGGTTTTGTGTTGGATTTGAAATTTGAAAGATTAATTTTGCTCTCTATTGTGATTTCTCTGTGTTTTTATTTCTATATTAACTTTGTTACATTTAAATGTTAAGGGGTGTCACGAGATACGGTGGGCATGCATGTATATGTTTTTTAATAACATTTTTGGAAAATTTTTGTGGATGGGATAAAGGGCATAATAATGATTCATATATATATATATATATAATTTTTTTTTTTTGAACGTGTGATTTTTTCAAAAATTCCTTTCCTTAACAAATACGTTGATGCTGGATGTAAGATTGTGTCCATCAATCTAAGGAAGGTAATTATACACGTCAATTGTTCCGGATGATTTGTTTTTTTTAGAAATTTAGGTCACTAGAATTTTCGATGTTGGAAATGTTAGATATATTACGACTTTGATAATCATGATTTTTTATAAAAATTTATAAGTATGTGAGTAATATTTGGATAGCTATATATTTATTTTTGTAGAATTTATTAATGTTTTTAATTTTATATAATATTTTTAAAATGCACTTACCAATATTCATGTATACATCCATTTATTATAATTTGTATTTATACAATAGATTTGTTTCTATAATTTTTATATGTTATTTTATAGAATAAATTAGTTCATGTTAATATAATATTTTATAAAAAAAATTAATTAATATTAAATATAAATTTTATTTTCAACTTGGGTGAAATTATTTATTTTATTATCTTGGATGAAATTTATTTATTAAATTATCAAATTATATTTTGTTAAGAAGAAAAAATATTTGTGGTTAAAAAAATGTTGCTTTAAAATTATATATTTAAGAGATGATAAATATTAACTTCAAAATAATTTTTTCAAAATATTGAAAATAAATGAATGATATTATATAATTTAATTGAAGTTTATTTTATATGTAAATGTAACATATAAATTTACTCAATTACACAAAGTTGTTTATTAGTTATATTAATTTATTCAAATTATAAAATTATAAAGAAAAATAAAGAAAATGGAGGAAAGAAAATATATAGATGACGCTCTCAACATGAGAATTTTTGAAATCCATGTTTCAAAACTACAACAATTAGAGGAGTATCTTATTACATTTGCAAAATAAACGTGAGAATCTAGAAGTCCATCCAATAAGAATCTTGGATTCTCAGAAAACGACGACTCCTAAAAGATATATCGATCAAAATTTTCTTTCCTTAAGAAATGGAATCGTAAAAATTGAAAACTATGTCGTTTGCTCAAGAGTGTGTGCTACAATGACGTCGTTTTGCGTGTACCCTAATTATCTCCACAATTGTATGATATTATCTGCTTTAGGCATAACTCTTACGACTTTGCTTTTTGTTTTACCCAAAAGGCCTCATAACAATGAAGATAATTGTCATCTCTTATATATCATGGATCACTTCATTTTCTAGTCAACGTGGAACTTTGTTTGTACTCATTTACCAAACCCAACAAATACAACCTTACATATTTACGTCACAATCCTAACAATACTATATAAAAGTGTCACTGGTTTTTGTTGTAGAAAGTTCATTTCTTGTGTATAATATGATCTAATACCAATAAACTATAAAAATTAATGAAAGTATTATTTAAATTGCAACAGGAGATTAACTCAGCGGTTAAATCGTCTTGTTCATTTCGTGGGTCGGAGGTTCAATCCTCCACTGAGAAAGGAGCATTGCCTAAATATTATGTATTTAAGAGTACCATTTGGATAACCATTTTATGTTGATTTTTCATCTTAGAAGCAGTGGAGTGTTGCACCCTAGATGGCGAGAGTCCAATAGCTTGAAGCATCACTAACTTACGCTCTTACTCAAATAGCATATGGGACATGTGGAATCCCATGTGAATCAGCAAAGACCACCTTGCAAGGCTAAATACTCCTGAGTGATCAATAGTGAAGTAGTACCGTGAGGGAAGGGTGGAGATACTAACGGAAGTTCAAAGACGTTTAAGAAATCTTTTTTTAAAGTTCGGATACCAAACTGTCACTTTTTGAAATTTATGGACTAAATAGAAACTTATCTTTAAAGTGTATTTTACTTTTTTCTTTTATCTATTGTTTATTATAACTTTTGTATTTTTTTTTACAAACAAAAAAATTATGTTAATTATATAAATAAAACGCGAATTGTATTTGTATGTTATATTTTGTTATGCTATTTCTTAATAATTGATATATATGTTTCTTTTCTTTATGATTTTCTTCAACTTTTAAGAGTTCAGTGTGATGGCTTTTATTTGATTTGACATTTCATATGTAATTAGGCGTCAATGGATCTTTTTTTTTTCCTCACCAAAGTTTTATATATTTGCTAAATCTTTGATACTTTTGAATATAAAAAGAAAATTGAAAATTTGTTAATTTTGTTGTTTTATAGGACAATAATATTAGGGCTTAATGGATCTATTTTTCATTTTTCATTTAGTTTCACTCATTTGGTTTCTTCTTATTACTGCCCTTATTATTATTTGGTATTAAGTGATTCATTTGCTAATTTTATGAATTTTCATAATATATCTATTTTTGAAATCATCTATTCATTTAAGTTCTTGAATGACACAGTGACAAGAGCTTTGGGCTTGTGGTATCACATACCTTGGGTTCATGTTCATTGCTTAATCCTGAACCCGATTATAGGGATCCACAACATAAGCCACATGACATTAATTTCGGAAAATTTAAAAAAAAACTCATCTTCTCATTTAACAATACATACTAAAATTTTCTCATTTAAAATTATAACTCATCTCAATGGCATCATTAATTTAATGAAATTTAGATGGTTTATTAACTCAAATGTTTATGGTAAACAAAAATATTAATGTATTGTCTTTATAATATATTTATAGAGTTTTAAGAAAAATCTTAATTTTGAGATGTAGCTATATTTAGCTTTGAGCCCACCGTCTTCGTGAGATGGACTCAATCATAAGAGTCCAAATCCGACCCATTTAGATTGTACTTGTTGGGTACGACAAAGCGGTATTGAGGGGTGGTTCCATTAGTAAGACTACGAGACATTGTAGTATCACTTATCATGAGGTTTTCTGTTCAAATCTTTGGGTGAGCTTAATATAAAAAGTTATTGATGTCTCTTGGATCCGAGTCTTGAATTTGGTGTGACTTGATTTTATGAAATTTAGATGTCCAAAAAAAAAATTCAAATTCTACTGGGAAACAAAATTTTGAATTTGTTGCGCTTATGGCATATATATTGGTTTTTTTTTTCTTTTTTTTTTAATAGATATATATATATTGGTTTTTAAGAAAATTCCAATGATTGCAAAGCCCAGTAGTATCGGAATTTAGTGCTGCACCACGCTCTCTATACTTCAAATAGGCTAAACCAGAAAAGTACAAAACGGGCCCATTAAGAATCACTACAAGTAGGTAGATGGGGCGACAACTGGGCCGTGTGCATTGATCCCAAAATCTCTAAAGCCCACAGTCCACCGTTGACATGGGCCGAATAAAACTTGTATGTGATATTATAATACAATATTCTAAGTTTATATTAAATTATTTTATTTTATTTTATTTTGTTATTATTAATTAATATCAATGAATTCTTTTAAGTATAATTCGTTACTAATAAATATTAGAATAGTAAAATTTAATAAAATCTTATATTAAATTCTGGTTCTTTCTAAAAATTTGATGTAATTTTATTTAATTATCATTTATTTATTAATAATCAATAAATTATTATGGTAAAAATATTTACTATCAATAATATAGTAATAAGATAAACTAAAATTTATTACTATTTTAATTAAAAAATATTATTCGTAATTAGCTAAAAGGAAGAAAGGGGCATATATTAGTAACGGTTATATATCTGATTTCGATTCTAATTTCAATTCCAGAAAGTTTTAGAGCATTACATGAATTTTCATTTCGATTTCATAAAATTTCTGGTAAACAACATTAAAGTAATAACATTCTCATTCCGATTTTTGGTGAGTAAAGATGGTCTGGGTCTTAAAATATTCGGTTGGTTGTAACCATCTGCGACAATTTCTTTTATATTTGGGGCAACAAGAGGGAATAACCATAAAAAATAATGTGTTTTGAAAAATGGGCAAAAGTATCTTATAGTGACTAACTTTTGATTCAATTTTCACTTTTATTTAGGACAAATATGCCTCTGAAATCAATTAGCCAAAAGTATCGTGCAATTCTATATTTTGTTTTGGACAAATATATCATTAAACAAAAACAATTTGATTTTAGGAAATCTCTAACCAACCTATACTATCTAAGAAGGTGGATAATAGTTTTAGAACATCACTTCATTTGAAGTTTGAGGATTTACTAAATAATCATACCACGTCTTCTATAGAAGAGTCTACTGGGTGCGTCTAGCACATGTATATCGTCTTTGTTATAGAGGCTTTGTCGAGTTTGCAGTCATGCGTCAGCATATCTTGGCATATGGAACTATCTATGAGATATGTATCAATAACCATACAATAGTTTTAGGGATCTAAGACATATACATTATATGTCATTTGAACTTTGTATATAGAACTATCTTCGTTTCCCTTTCTCTATACGAGATTTGTTTCAAATGAACAATGTGAAAGCAAACGATTTGTATACCATATTTTGTGGTAGAAAATCATCTAGGAGAATGAAAAATTCTCCAATTCTTCTATTGTTGAATTGAACTGTTTTGATGAGATTGGTGGTTCAATCACTGCTAGTCATTCTCAGCTCAATTTTTGTCCTTGTTCGTTCTCTTCAACTCAACCTTCTTATTAAAACAAGAAAATAATATAATTTTTTTTTAATTTTACTATTTTATTTAATAAAAATTGAAAAAGGGAATATCCCAAATAAAATGAGGAAGTAAAATAAGTTATTTGAGCAGAGAAATACGTGACACGTCAACATACTGTTGGTGGGACCCAGGAAACCATAACCCATTCCATTCCCATGGCATGCAATAAAAATGACGTGATTATTATTAATTTTACTTTTCTTTTTGGCAATGCCAGCAAGCATCAAATTAAAATTACATAAAAATAAATAAAATAAATATCAGAAATTGTAAGAATTAGACGGGTGGACACCCACTGC